TTTTTACTTAAAATACAACATTTCATTAATAAAATTCAGTAAGGTTTGTGTCATTTAATTAAAAACCAAAAAAAACGACAGTTATTTATTGAAAAAGTAGTTTTTCCAGAAATGGTTTTATTTAATACATGCAGTTTTGAAAACGATAACGTTTTTTTTTCTTTTTTTGAAAATTTAATATTATCAATCGATTGGTCAGGAAATTTACATTGGAAAACACACGTTTTGCTTTAATTTTGCTTTTCGTTTTCAGAAGATATAAAACTTTAAAAACGTTTGGTGCGAATTCGCACTCAGGTGTTCTTTACGGAAGTTCAAATGAGCTGTAGTTTTTACGAGTTAATCGGGACGAAGCTGCCTCGAGCAGCATTGGTGATTTTCTCAATTGAAAAAATAAAGAAGTGATACAAATAATTTTGATTATAATTATGAAATCGGGATGTGTTTAAATCTTGTGAAAAAAATTCCCTCAGCATTCCCGAATTTTCCAGTCCAGATATTTTTGTTCAAAATTGCAGACAAGCTTAGAGAATTTTTTTATGCAACTTTGAAATAAATTTAATGTGCATATTAGGCGATATAAACAAACTATAAAAATAATTAATCAAATTATTATTAAAAATTAGTAGAAGACCGGGACTCCTGCACGAGACTATATCTATTATTTTCTGTGTTCTAATTGAAGCCACGAAACTTGTAAGATAATATAGGAAAAGTTCACGACAATAATAGTATGAGTGAGCTACTCTTTTCCGCCGTATTGTCTTTTACTCAGATTGCTCTTTTAAACTCGTGAAACACACCTACGGGAATATACGTGAATGCAACAGCTCAGAAAAGATTTCTGATAACAAGACATAAAATATTCTTGACATGCTTAATCTTATCGGACCTCATGCAGTATAAACAAAACAATATTAAAATTAGATTAATAATTCCTATTCTCCTCTCTTGAATAAGATTGACTTGTTGTCTTGAGAGACAAGAGTAACACAAAGGGTGTAGCCCGATATGCATATGAAATGTGCCCCCACACTAAATTAGACTTGCCATAGGTCGATCGAAAGAACAACTTTCATCAAGTTTTAACCCTCTACCCTTACTATTACGATAATGACAAGATAAAATATTATTTTTGATTCTAATTTTTTTCTGCTCTTTTAATGCACGAAAAATTATGAAAAAATTCAACAATGTTTCAGACGTCAAAAAACTTACCTGGAACTTTTTATAGATTTTTAAAATGAAATTTCGAATTTAAAAAAATTGAAGTTTAAATTTGTCAATTTTTAGGTGAAATTATTGAGTGACTAGCTTTATATTTTTTCTGTAACAACACCTTTCCAACATTATTCATCTTAAATTTTCTCAGATTTTTGGAAAATAAGCGTCAATGTTTAAAAATTGAGAATATTGAAAAAATGATTGTTTTAATTTTTTGCGCAGAAGAATCACTTAATATTTTAATCTACATACTTTTTAATATGCACATTTCATATGCATATCGGGCTACACCCTTTAAGTTTATACATTTTTACGTTTAGAATAAATTTTTATCTATGATAACGCACAATGCTGGCGCCATCACATAGCTAGTATATTTCACGCGAAATCGATATGCTATCGTACTTTTTCCCATCATTTTATTCCAGATTTAAGAATTTCCCATTTAAGAGTAAATTTCTCTTTCACCAATAAATATGATTGTTCCTATCGATCTTTTTTTATGATAAATCGAAGAGTAATAGCATTGAATCCAAAAAAATTTACTATGAGTATGCCATACCTACTTATTGTTAACTGATTGTCGACATTTTGCACATCAAAAACAAATGAGCGAAGAAACAATGTTTTCGGAAAGAGGCAGAATTTAAATTTGAAAGTAAGATTCCAAAAATTTCCTCGAGTACCTATCGGTAAAATTTCATTGAAGATCCCTGATGAAAGAAGTACTCCGAAAATTCCAAGTTTTTTTTCCAAATAGCGAAAATCTTGGCGATAGTAACCGCAAGAATAAGCTTCGCGTTTCAGAGAAAGCGATGGACCCGCCTAAGGAAACAGGCTTTGCTTCAATTGAAAATTCGGCGTAAACGTACAGCAAATCAAGTGGTGGCTCATCCGCGGCGTTACCGTATTATTATATATCGTCAGGAT